GGAGGAATACTGAAGGATACCAAGGGCCTCCTACTAAAAAGAGACCTCCCCTTTGCTGTGTGTGCTAATGAGCACGGCTCTTTCCTCCTGACCCCAGTCCCTTCCAGGCACGCTGGCACTTATTTGGAATATCCTCATGCTGTAAATGACAACTTTACAACATCCTCTCAATGCATCCATTTTGTGTTACAAGGTGATTAACTAAAATAATGACAGGAGGACCCAGAAGCTTGGATGGCGTTATGACAGGAGACAGGAGCAGCGGGAGGTGGTTGAAACAGAATCGATCGCAGATGAAGGTGACCAGTTACAAGCATGAGGAAAGAATCCTTGAGAAGAGACCCAGGGGGAAAGCTCATGATTTAAATATGTAATTAAAGATGGAGAAGAAACAAGCTAAACTTGTGTGCCAATATTTTGGATAACTTAGAAGTAGAGAGAGGAAAAGGAAACTCGTATTTATGGAGTGTCTAAAATGCATCTGGCTCTGTGCCGGGCACATGGTGTATGTTATCGCATCATGAAAAGAGGTTTCCATTCCAAATCCAATCCTTTACAGAGTCCAGTTTCCAGTGGAACCAGCACTATAACCATGGGGTTTAAAGGGGAGAGTGGTGTTCTGAATCTCAGACCCACTGGTTCCTCCTGGTATTGCTCCCTACGGTGCCCAGGCCCTCCATCCTTCCACCCATCTCACTCACAGGTTTAGATAAACCTGCTCCCCCCTAATGGAAACTTGGAAGGAAGCTAATACAGTCATTGTTTAATTGCTGACGATTACTTATATAAATTATCTTTCCTGGAGCTGTTGGATTTTAACAGGGAGAATCCACTTAGGCCCCACAAGGCACTCTCTAAATGTAGAGCTTTAAGCTTACATGCAAAGCTGTGAAGAATTACTCAGGGTATCTTACAGTAGTCTCTCCCAAATCGTCTCTCACAGTTTCCTTTGAAATGACATTGAGAACATCGCCAGCAGCCTTGCCTAATTTTAGGCTTAGCTAAAAGGCAGAGCAATGTGGCAAAAAGATGACAAGCCTCAGGTTCAGGCTGCACTGCCTCCACCAGCTCCCCTCGGCGCGATTCTAGGTAAGTTAACTTTTCTCGTTTCTCTGACACTCAGTTTTATCAGCTGTAAAAAAGGATAATGGTATGCTTACAGCAGCGAGGGTTAAATGACTTGATGTTCCATTTTAATGCAGCATATGCTTTCCTAAAACCTTTCTGTCTGCAGAACCATCTACTGAACCATAACAGGCCTTACGAGGAAAAAATAAATAAAATTGTGGGCATACTGTGCGGCAGCCAAGCTGAGGGCCTTTCCCTTTCCTGTTGCAAGTTTTAATCCTATTTCACTATTCTGATTACTCTTTGTCTAGGAAAATTCATGTGAACAAGCATAACTGTTCTTTATACTGACATCGTTCTCTAGGTACCAATGAAATAGGAGCTAACTGGTGCAATAAAACAAGTGCTGCAGAACACACTAAATATAAAATGACTTGGGGGAAAATATATGTATCGGGTAGGTTTAATTTTCCTTTGCTTCTTGATTAATTCTTTGGAAGCCATAGAGGCTCAACAGCAGAAAGAAGATTCTTTATTTTTCTAAGAGGGACATGAGTCAGCCTGAGAAAAGGGGGTACATGTGTAGGGCTTCATTTTCTTTACGTATTAGGCTCTTTAAGCAGGTGTAATATTAAAATCGTTTACCACCAGTGTGGCCTTAGCACCGATTGATCAGAAAGCTGCTCTGGCCTGGAGCTGGCAGCGGCAGTGAGGGTCTTTCTGGTCAGGTGTAATCTCTTTAATTTCTTAGGCTTGCAGGCAGGTCCCCAGGTGTTCCAGAGTGATGGCTGGGTAGGGGTGTAGTACTGGCAAGATGCAGGATTGTGCGTGTTTACAGTAAGTTTTGCAATGTTTTAAAGTGTAATTCCCACCTAATACTAGCCCCATCTCTTTAGCTTTCTAGTTCATGACACCCAGAAACCATGGAACCAAAGGGAGCCAGAGTTGCCACCTGTCTGGCTCAGAGGCTCACAGGTTATTCAGGTGCACAGGGAAAAGACAGTTTTACCTTCCAGGAGCATCCCCTTTCTCATCAAACCACACCTCCTCGCCAGACACGCCGATGAACGTGGACTTGATGAGGAAGTCCAGGAGCTTGCTGCCGTCGATGGGCTTCATGGCATCGCAGAGGCCCACGTGGCCGGGGCAGAGGGCGTGGTGCATGTTCTGCAGTCCGTGTGCCATGGCGTAGATGGCGTTGATGACAAAGCCCATCTTGCTGTCCTGGACGTAGTTTTCTTCTAAGCTTTCATTGCCTGTAACATAAGAACAGACGGGCGCCAAGGTTGCAGTGATGGAGTCTGGGCCTGCAGGTGTAACTCTCCAGCGCTCTTCAAGGCTCTCAGAGGAAGGGAGAGCCAAGCTCACCTGCTCAAGCTTTGTGACTAGCTCCATCTGCAAACAGTTTATTCAATTTTATTTTCTAACTTCAATGATGGTTTCATATAAAACAGACTCTATAGAGGTGAAATTTTTGTAAAAAACAACCTTTCAAATACTGCAAGGAAATCCTTAAGAAGCAATGGGAATAGCTTTTATTACCTCTTGGTTCGTGGAGACTTATATTAAAATTCTCCCTACACCACAGTCCTGGAAAAACATTTTTGATAGCCTCTGTAAAAATCCACATTCCGTAGTAAATCAATTTGGGCATTATCAAAACCCTGATATTTTCTTTGGGTGATCTCTAGGGCCACAAAAACCCAGAGCAAGGAGAAGAGCTCGAGAGCATGAATCTCTCTGACGTACGACCGGCAGAGCGAAAGCATTTGAATCAGAACAGCTCAGTCTTAGAAACACAGGTGAGATGTTTCTTCACGGGAGACTCATACCACACGTCTCAGCCTTAAGCCTTTATCAGTGAACTTCAATCGTTTCTACCTGTGTCCCAGGTGATCCGAGGCTCCCCAATTGCCAAGCTGTTAAACAAAAACAGTGTTGCCTTATATATGAGCCCCACAGCTGAAGCCTAAACTTCAACACTTACATATGGGTGAGAAATTCAGGGACCACTGGGTTTGCTGAACTAAAAGTACCAGGTTTGGAAAACAAAATAGGTTTGGAACACACCACGGGCATAATTCAGAGATTGTGTACTAGGTGCCAAAAATGTGCTTCTCTCTGCAGTGGCTTTCCCTCCCCCGCTTGACTGATAGTGAGAGGTCCACGCAATGTGGGATTCAGTGCCAGACGCTGGGAAAGTTGGCAAGTTCATCTTCATATGGGGGTTAGAATGACATGAGGCTCCTGGCACGCTGGCCAGCTGACCTTTCTGTTCCAGCCTAAACAGGTCACCGGGAACTAATGTTCCTGGACTGGAGAGTAGCATAAACTATTAGGGAGGTAATAGAGTTTGGGGTGTTTAGAAGGAATGGTAAAGAGTTTTGAGTTCACTGTTGAGCTTGAGATAAAATAAGACATTTCTAAAGAATTCTATTCAAAGGCTAATCTATTTAGATATAGTTGAAAATGTGAAAAAGATACATGTAAAGAGATACAAAACACCCAGGCCACATTGAAGGAGGAACAATTTCGATTTTAACCCACCTTCAGCCATTACTTACTAGGAAATTGTTAAAGTGTGATTTGCTAAAGTCTTATTTTTCCAATTGGAAAAAGGACATTTCCTGAGAGGAAATAAGGAGAACGAGAGGCAGAACGGGCATTTGAAAATCAAACAACAACAAAAAAGTATAGAAATTTCTGTAAAACAGAAAGCAAACATCCTTCCTGCACAAAAACTGTAAAGTCATTGAAATAGGGTAACTTACGTCTGTCTCCCAGCACCCTGGCTCTCAAAGTTAGTTTGTGTTCCCTCTCTTTTACATCAGGATATAAAAGAGGTAAATTGATGCCCTGTGTCTGAGAAATTTTCAGCAAGCCTCTCAAGGCTGCCCAAAGCCTCCAAGTGCTGGAGCTAAACGTTAGAGCTGATAGAATTAGAGAAATAAGCAGGACTTAAAGAAAGGGGGAAAATAGACAAAAATCGAGTGGCAAAATAACCTTCAATGTAGCAGCCACTTCAAGGTTTCTAGTCAACACTAAAACCATCCACTTGAAGTTGCAGCTATTAATGTCAATCCAGGAGCTAACTGTAAGAAAATATGAGAATGAACACTTGGAGTTCTTCCCCAAATGGAAAGTTCGCTATTTCAGACAAGCCTATAGACACTGGGTCTGTTTTGTTGGGTTTTTTTTGCTTTGATAACTGATTTAAAGAATTCTTATATATTTAAGAAGTGATGCTGGTGTCCTCAGTACAAATTCCCTAAGCCATGGTTATCTCAGGATGTGTTACTCATCAGCACTGAGACTGTAACAGCTCTTGGCTTTCTCTGAGATCGGTTTTCCTTTTGGTCCTTACTTGGGGTGATTACATAACTTATTGTCCAAACTGGGTCACTTTTGAAAGTGAAGTGAGTGATAATTATTCTGGATACACAGGGGTAAACAAGGCAAATCAGTCAAATGGTGACACGTTTCCTGAGCCATGCTCCCCTCTAACTATTTACTGATGTTATCATGGGTGAGATTTATATCCACTTATATTATATATAATAACATCTATAACACATGTAAATATGTATACATATGTATATATGAATAGATACAATAATTAGTAAAAAATTATTAATTTTAACAATTTTACATTTATCTAATTTTAACAAGAAATTAACACATCAATAATAATACTAGCTACTATTTTCGTGTTTGTTATGTACAACACTCACATAATGAGTTCATGATAATCCTGCCAAACAGACATTCATTTTGCTATTTACGAGTGAGGGGATTGTACTGGCATCCAGATGCCCCCTTGACCTTTGGTGTCTCTGTTACCCTTGCCAGCAATACTGGTGCAGATACAGAAATCCACAGAGGAAGCGCTCTTCTGGTGACAAAGGATAGGGCATCCTGATGTCACCAGTGTCGCTGTCAAGCTGGTTTGGGGTTTCTCCCTGGGACTGTTCCAGATGTGCCCAGCTGTCTCTCTGACTAGAAGCACTGGAGTGCAATCTATCAGCAGCAAACTATGAGAAAGAAGCCATCCTGTCAGGATCCACCCTGCACACAGCCAGGGGGCCAGGCACACATTTCCAGGGAATATTTGTAACTCACACCATTCCCAAAATAAACACAAAGAACTCGAGTGTCTGCCAATCTGAAGTGAGCCATTGCCCTTGCCTACCCTGCCGGTCCACTGGGTGCGCAAGTGAGGAGGGTGCTGCCGTCAGTAAGAGCTCCCTCTGCAGCTCCTGCCCCGCTCGGTGGGAACTAACATTTGGGGAGAAGTGCAGGGAGTTAGAAAATCATCTGGCCTTTACAGGGCCATTCTCTTCGCCATAGCAACAGTCTCAGGCAACGTTGCAAGGATCTGTCACCAAACCAACAGAATATGTTACAGGTTTTCGTGTTCCCCAAAGATCTTATGTTTTCATGACCAGTGAATGGAATATCCAAACTATTAATATTGTCACTTTGTGAGAATGTGAAAACATTTTAATTCCCTGGGGTTTAGTGCCTTTTCATAACACTAGTCTCAGCGTTATTAGTGAGAAGTGGATTTCATGATTCTTTTTCTGTGGTGCATTAACTGTTATAGACCACTAGTGTATCATTAAAGCATTACCTTTTCTAACACACTAAATGGAGTCAAATAATTATAGTTAACTGTGTTTATTTACCTTCGAAAGAATACCTGTCTAACTACTTCACAGTGGATTGTGGAAATACCTACCTTGATTCTAAAATAGCAGTCTCGTTCTCATTGTGAACACACAAGGGCTAGAAATTGTCGCCTGAGAGCAGCCACATGCAGGGCCTACCCGGGGGTAGGAACCCACTGTGCGCCTTCCAAAACCAAGAAATTCACGGTGGTTGGGAGGAGGGTCGGCAAGTCTCCCCACTGATACTTAGGACGGCTCCTCAGCAGAGTGGTAGAGCTGAAAGAACCCTGGACGAGGCACGTGGACACCTGGGCCCTAGCGGCAGTTCTGCTGTCATATGTCAACTGCATTTCCAATGAGCCACGGAACTTGGACAAGGGTCTACGCCAACTTGGGTCTCAGTTTCCTAATTTTAAAAAATCCCACAAGTGGATCAGATTATCTTCCTGCACTTCTCTTTCCCCTCTGAAGTTTGTGCTTTGCTTCTCCAATCCCACACGTGTGGGTACTTGGCAAAGACACTCACATATGTAATCGTTCTTCATCCTGGCACAACCCCATGAGGTAGGTTCTACTGTCACCATTTTACAAAGGAAAGGCTAAAACGCAGAGAAGTTAAGTCAGGATTGGGGAGATATGCCTTCCTTTCCCTTCAATTAATGCTTTTTTGTGAAGAGATTCCTACTGAGTAACACCTTAGGCTTCTTAACTCACCTACGGAGCAGAGGAGAGGACTCATCTTACTGGTGTATTGAGGAAAAGAAACTGCGGCTGCTCAGCTCAGCCCCTTTCTCTCTCACTGGGAGCCAGGCCTCGGCAGTACTCAGAGGTTCTCGTTGGTTCTCTGGCATCTGGTAAATGTGGGTTGCAGTTACCCAGCTGTGCCCATGGGCCAAACCGGTTAATCTATCTAGTCCTGGGGTCAAGTATTGAAAAGTATATTATGGCCACATATCTAATCCATGTCCCTATGCCAGTTTGGGTTTTTGCTTGTTGTTTCTGGTTAACTTTTAAAATCCCATACTGTAAAGTACAGAAATCTTTACTGTACAAATCAGCAAATGTTTACACATGTACATACCATGTAACTGCTGCCCAGATCATGACAACTGCATTTCCCAGGCTTTCGTTTGCTTAGAGCTTCCTTACTTTATCCCAGCAACGTTTTGTAATTCTTCAGTGTGCAGATCTTAGGTACTTGATTTTTTAACTTTATTTTTATTGTTGACACTATTAATCGGAGAAAAATTTGGGGGGGGGGGAGGCTCATCTGTAATAGGTATTTGATTTTTATGGTTCTTCTACAATTAGTGTCTTCAAAATTTTTTAAATTACTTGTTGCCAGTATATAGAAACACTATTAATATTTGTATTTTGGCCTTGTATCCAAATTTACTTATTAATCTATTTTTTAATATAATTTGTTTTGTTTTCTATGTACACAATCACATTACTAATAAAACATACTTTATCATCATTTGACTCCTGGGTCTACCTCTTAGTTGGATCCAAATTTGGAAAGGAAGTACACTGGCTGTCACACTGAAATCTCATGGGTCATGAATTCAAGGACAGAGGCAGTGTCCTCC